AAAAAAAAAAAAAAAAAAAATATATATATATATATATATATATATTCCAGTTCATGAAGAGATCTTCCATATTGTAACGTACATTTGAGTGTAATGGATTATTAAAAAAAAAAATTTGTAGAGCAGGGACTTGGTTCTATCCATTGGTTGTTGACTGGATTTTGATGAATGCAAAATGAATACAAGTATGCAGTTGATTTTGGAGAGATTAAGTTTAAGCGGACTAAATTATTGGATAAATCTGGTATACGTTATACATTTTAAGTAAATGCCGACTTAATTCATTTCCATGATTTGACCTGGTTTGATATATATACTATGATGCTGAACAAATACCATTTTAATATTCTATGGTATTTACATGGTGGTCCAAAAAACTTCAAAGAATACCATGGTAAAATTTGTGTATGTGCATGTAACAAATATGCACTGCAGTACAGCATCTTCAATACCATTTAAAATTTTGAGAACATTTTTATAATAACACCTCCTAAAACATTTCTATTCAAATTGTATTTCTTTGTAAGAGGCTGAAAGGAACCGACTACACAGCTTGGCCTGTTTAGTTTGGTCAATTCATTTACGAGCAGAAGACCAGAAATGACACAAAGGGCTCGAGACAGATAAAGCTACTCTAGACGCACGATTCTTGGAACTGCACTTCTTCACACCTCTGTATCTCAGTGAGATGAGAGGTTGTCCATGCTCGGTGTTCAAGGCTATGGCTTTCCTCCCTGACACCCATGACTGCAGCCGTGATAAGCCAGCAGCTCTTACGAGACCTATTGATCCCGTCTGCTCAGGAGGAGAGAACGAGAGAAAGAGATAGATACTAGTCAGTATAAAAGGAAAGAGGGACGGAGAGAGAGATATAGGAAGGAAGAGGACTGTGAGAAAGAAAATATGCTGTGTACAGGCTGTTCTGTCCAGATCAAGCCAGTGATATCAAACCAGCATTAAATTACTCGGCCAAATCTGATTATCGTCTTGTTTTATTATCAATTCTGTCTTATAGTTGCTCTGCTAATAAACTATTTTACACCAGCATGCATTTGAATTCTAGTCTAGCCTGGTGAGTTGGGGCTGGTCGCACAGGTGAATTGAATGTAGTTATTAAAGCTAATCTAATTTTTTCCCACAGTGAAGTTAGTTGAACAAGGGAGTTTTGTTGGTTATCTTGTGCTAGAAACCAGCAATCAAAACAGTCGATTCTAATAGAGTTTGATGTTAGCATGTGGCTAAGCTAACACTATAAGCAAAACAATAGCCTACATGTAACCAAATATTGGGTGAAAGACTTATTTTTTTAAAACAGACAACTGTTATCAACATAATGATAATAATATTATTTTTCTGAGCAGCAAATCAGCATATTAGAATGAGGTCTGAAGGATCATGTGACACTGAAGACTGGAGTAGCTAATGGCTACTGAAAATTCAGCTTTGCTATCACAGTAATAACTTAGAAATCACTTATTTTAAATGGTAAAAATATTAGTTTATTAAGTAAAATATTTCACAGGTTTTTACTATATTTTGATCAAATAAATGTAGATTTGGTAAGCATAAGATAGTTCTTCAAAGACCAACCCCCAAATTTCTGAACTGTAATGTCCCTTACAAAAATTAACCATGGTTTTCTAACAAATAAGACCAAAAACCCATGGTTACTACACTGTAAAAAAAAAAAATCTGACATTTACAGTAAAATACCGGCAGCTGTGGTTGCCAGAACTTCACCGTAAAAAATATGGTAGCAACATTTTAGGTTTTACAGACTTAATCTAAATTCACAATAGAATAATGCATTTCATTAACTGTTGTAATGTTAATAAACCAACATATTTAAGTACTACAATCTGTTTTGAACCATTGTAATGCACTGATAACCACCAAAAAATAGCTCATCACAAACAGCTTATCTGCGAGCTGAGGAGGGCAATACATTCACACAAACACTAAACCCTATCATGGTGACACGCATGATACTGAAATAATGCAATAAACATTAATTTAACAACATTAGATGTCAGATTAAACCCTAGTGTACACAACTGATAAGAAAAAACTAAAAAGAAACATGTTATTTCAACAAAAAAACATTAAATATGAAGTGTCATGCAGGGAATTCTGGGAGTGTCAATTTACGCTTTTTCACTGTAAATTATACAATGACTTTTTCTTTTTCACTTCCAAAAATTTTATTTTTAACAGTATTTTACTGTAGAATCACATTAAATGTAATTACATTTATTCACCAAATATAGTATGGAAACTTACTGTTAACCACGATCATTTTTTACAGTGTATAGTTAAACTATGGTAACCACAAATTAACCATGGTTTTGCTTCACTAATCATAGTTTAACCATGGTATTTGTAGTAAAGCTGTGGTTACATAAATGGTAATCAATATGCCAACAAAACATGGTTACTACACTTTTACTATAATAAAACCATGGTTAATTTTCGTAAGGGGTAGTTACATGCAATGCTACTTAAGATTTTCAGCTTTTTGGAACAGTTGTCATTTCTAGACACACGATCCCTTAAAAAAAAACTGTCAATTAAGGCAGCTCGGTACAAGTCTTGAAACACATTTAACTCATGTCCAGTCTTGATTTCATCTCAAACATGGTATTTCCAACATTTTACATGTATTTTAGACTACAAACCATTAGTTCCTTGAAGTCCTACAAATGTAACTAAATTGTGTCTATATAGTCTAGAAGCAAAAGATTTGTTATTGAACACATTTTGTATGCACCAGTGGTCAAGTTATCTCAGTTTTACTGGAACAAATTACATCTCCGTGAGGCCTTACTTGGTGGTAAATAAGATGAATAGGTGTGTGTGCGTGCATGTGTGTTTGTTGATGCATATTAACTCCGTGCAGGCAGGCAGATGAAGATGACTGGAAGGACTGATGGAGAATGACAGGAGCGGTGTCTACTGTCTCTTTCTACTGCTACACCACAGCTAATGAAAATCAAAACGGGCAGCAAGTGCATGCCTACACTTTTGCACAACTTGGAGCTCAGTTATTCATTAAACATTCAGGTTCAAGCTGAATGTTGATCCCGATTTTATTTCACATAAAATCCTCCGCCAAATGCAGCTACTATTTAACAGTGGAACGTCTCGATACTGTGGGTTTTAAAATGCAAACACGATGGCTTTGTTTACTGTAATTAAGTTAATGGACGTGCTTTAAGACGCAGCTCCGAGACTTGGATTAGAGCAGACTGTAAAGACGTTTATGAGCTCATTAGGAGTTTGTGTCTTTGCCACTGTGCAGTATTTCTCTCCCACACTGTGTTCAGAGATGATGGATTGAGAGTGATGTGCGCAGATTTCTCCTGAATGATGTCACACCGTGCCGAATTTAACTTGGGTGAATGGCACTCCACTGTTACGGTGTCTGTGTGTGTATAAGGGAACAATCACTGTTTCTCCTCTCACAGCAGCACACACCTCTGACATTCCTGACGGACATGTTTACCATTTCAGCCGGAGAATGGAAATGACATCATTAATGGCTACTGGTTCATAGGTAGACATATACATACAGTTGGGGCTAAATATATCAGCACTTTAGCTGCAAATCATGCAGTATGTGTGCAACATTCTATAATGCAAGATTGTTTTTAAAAAATAACAATTTGGTAACCACACACACACAGCCAGTCAAAAGCTTAGACACACTTGACTGAATTGGTTTCTCAAAATCTGTTGATCTAAGGCATATGTTTAAATTTACAAGTTTTATTTGTAGACCGAACACATAAAATATTTAATAATTATGATGCCTCATGCAGTTTTTGGTCACTAATTTATTCCCATACATCCATTTAGAATTAGAATATTCTGTGTAAAAGAGTCAAATAAGAAAATAAGTGTCTCCAAATTTTGGCATGCAGACAAACAGTCTAGTCCAATTCCCAAACAAATGACTGTTTTGAGTCGGTTCTTCTAATGAATGAATCATTTAAAATCACCACAGGTTAGGATTTTTTTTGTGGACTGAAATAGTTGGTCTTAAATGAATTCACTGAATTAACATCTTGAATCCATCAGAGCAGTTACTAAATACACTACTGGGGGAAAATATAATATAAATAAAAATAACATGCAAATATAGTAATACAAATATTTTTTAAATAAACTTATGATAAATAAAATTATGGTCACACATTTTATTTATTTATTTTAAAGAAATTAATACTTTTATTCGGCCAGGATGCATTGAATGATTTCTGAAGGACCATTA